TCGGTTCACTTTTCAAACTGTTGCCACAAAATGTTAGAGTCCTGCATTATATTTGAAGAAATTAAATAATGAAAAATCTGCATAAATGTATGTATATTTCTCGTATTGTGATAAAACAACGGTACATAGAGTCATCGAATTTTGAATAACGTAATCCTCCAACGAATATGAGCATGTGGAAGACCAAATTTGAAATTTGTTTTATGATCGATTTCCTATTTTTTAAAACTTTGACGAATTTTTGATTAACAAACTCAAGGATTTCAAAGCGAGCAATGGCAACGTTGTGCAGAAAAAACATTTTTATCTCCAGCGCGTGAGTCTCTGTATCGGAAATTCTAAAGATATGCTCGTTTTAAAACTATTTTGCGATATTGCTGTTGCACTGGATCTTATGGTTTAAGTGCGAGGAACATGATATTTAATAAAGAAAGGTAACACACAAAATGTTAAAAAAACGCCCCTTTGGACGTAATTTAAAATCTGAAACATTTCAGATTTTTTTTTTTTTTGTTTTTTTTTTTTTTTTTTTTTTTTTTAAGTTGTGAAAAGGCTCGTTTAATAATTGTTTTAATGCTCGATTATTTGATAAGCCTGTATATCCCTTGACAAATATTACGCAATATTTACAATACGCTCCATCCTTAGTTTATAATAATCCAACCAAGAATATTTGGATAATAGTGTACAGTAGTACCTCGCGATACGATGGGTTCACGATACGATGTGTTCAAGATATGAAGTGAATATCGCAAATATTCGTGCTCGCGAAACGATACGTTTTTCGCGATGCGATCCCAATATCTCTTGCCGCTTGAAGTTGTTTTGAAGTTGGCGCGCTACGGGCAAACCTCACGCGTCACTAAGCAAGCCTCAGCAAGCCATGGACGTTATAAGAAATAGACTAACCCAAACGGTCTTTCTCCCTCCTCTGAGGCGTTGCCGGCTGTCACCTTGATCACATACGGAGGAGTAGGGACTTGCAGAAATTTAACATTGGTTGGCTATTGCAGCGTGTATAATTATCAAGAAAAAGCTGTATGTAGCGCCTCATTTCACAAATTAGAATTTCTATACATTTTTATTTTTGAAATTGAGCTTGATTTTGAAAACTTTAGCATATTTATCAAGCATAATTAACGTTTCCAAATAATTATAAAGCTATTCCATGCTTTCAGGGCTGGATATTTTTTTAGCTTTCCCTATGCTGTAAGGAAATTTGCAACTACTTCTTTTAGAAAATAATATTTTAAATCTGAACTAATAGAAAATTTCAAACAAGCAAATTTATGCTTTTTATGCGTGTAAATAAGTAAAAAGTACTAAAATATTTAAAAACGAATTTTTGAAAGTTTTGTTTAAAATTCTAAATTGTGCTGCTTTTTTAAAATTATAGATGAGTATTATAGCACAATTTCTATAACGGAATTTTATTTCAACTATATTTCATAATACATCATAGTGATAAACACTTTTGACTCCTTAAAAATTTTTATACATTTAATTCTAATATTAAAATTGTATTTAACCGTAATAATTAATTTTGCTTGTATTTTATAGTGATTATTTTTTTTAAAATTTATTTTTAGTTCCTAATAAGATTTTTTTATTTACTGTTCCTTTAATTTATGAGCCTAAAGGGGCGGTAGCCTAGAAAGGCTGTTAGTTTCGAAGCGGCATTTTGCGCTGTTTTACTATAAATGTCCGTGTCTCCTTGCAAATTGTTGTTACCAAATATTAACGCCCTGTATTATATGTAAAGAAATTAAATAATGAAGAAATCTGCATGAATACATGTATGTTTCTTGCACTGTAACAAAAACGACAGTACCTAGAGCCATCAAATTTTGAATAATGTAATCCTCCAACCGAACATGGGCATCTGGATGGCCGAATTTCGAATTTATTTTAATCTATTTCATATTTTGTAAAACTTTAACGAATTTTTTATTAACAAACTCAACGAGTTCAGAGCGAGCACTGTACGGAAAATAACAGTTTTATCTCCAGTGCGGAAATTCTAAAGATATGCTGTTTTCAAATGTCTGTGGTTTACGGGCGAAGAACATGATAATCAATAAATATAGGTAACGCACAAAACTTTAAAAAAAGGTTCCTATAATATAAAATTTGAGTGCTTCTAGATTTTATTTTATCTTTATTTCCCCCTTTATTACGCTTAGAAAATTTTATGCTCCGAATTTTATGAATTATTAAAATAACTAATCCACTTTAATGTTAATAATTTAATGATCATATAATCAAATAAATATGATCGTTTTGTAATTTTATTATACTTTGGAAAATCACTGCCTGAAAATTTTCATTAAATTTAAAAAGAAAAAAAAAATATCAGATCTTGTTTAATTTTACTTAATTTTTACGCAAAATTAAGTTCATAAATTTTGTGCTTAGAGTTTTTACCGTTTTACCAAAGTAAAGATGTTTTTACAAGAATTACGCGTCAAAAAATTGCGCGAAATGCAGTAAAAAGTGCTTTAATGAGATACATTAAATCCTATTTGGAAAAAACTGTGGCTTTCATAATCTCATCACTATACAACGTATCACATTTAATAATTAAAAAGAGTTATGTGATACAAACGCCATAGGTTTCAATGTTAAAGTAAACCAGATCGTCCCTACTCTTTCTTGCCGACATGTCGGTGACGCACGCCCCGCCCACTGGGTTAGTCTATTTCTTATAAGGTCCATGCAGCAAGCCTCAATACGTCACTATTCAAGCTGTTCTGGTATTGGTCGACGTGACGTCATCTTCCTTTCTCTATAAATCCTGTCTCCTATTGGTCGGCATCACGGCATCGTAGGATACCGAGTCCACACAAAGCGTCGATGTGATATCGTTCTCTCCTTCTCGAGACCGCGTGGCGTTCGTACAGTTCATACGATATTCTTGTGATTGTGTGATCGTAATATTATTTTGTGATAAACTTTATTCGTCATGGGTCCTAAATGTGCTTCTAGTGCTGGTGGTGATAAGGGGAAAAGAAAGTCATTGATAACCATGGAAGTGAAGTTGGAAATTATAAAAAAATACGAAAGTGGCATGCGCATCATGGCTATTGCTAATGCATATGGACGAAACCAATCGACGATTAGTACCATTATAAAGAATAAAGAAGCCATTAAAGCCAGCAAGTCTGCAAAGGGCGTTACCACCATAGAGCTGTAATGTACTAGAGAGAGAAACGGCAACCCTGAAGGGGAACAGGAATACGAACCACGTGACATTTGGTACATTTCCCAGATCGTATTTCCCGCGAATCTTCCTTACCATTACAGTTCTATGGAGAATTTGCGAGAAGCAAGTGTTTTGCGTGTAAGCGCATTGTTTCGGACTTCAAAAATGATACTTTCGTGCTCCGCATATGGATGTAATTCCAGATATGTGAAAGATGGAGGAGTAACATTTCACAACTGAGCTTTTTCTAATGTTTTAAAACCTAATTTTATAAAATGTAGAGGTTTTTTTATCCACTCTACTTGCCTTTTTCTAATAAAAAATAGATTTTCTAATTTTATATAATATATGCATACTTGAAATAAACATTTAAATAAAGTATCTTAATATATATGTATGTTTCTAATAACTGTTTTCTGAAAAAAATGTTAAAATTTTTAGTAATACTATATAATTTTAATTAGTCTAGTATTCTGCTTTGGCGACATTTTTTATACGCCAACAGACTGCTTTGAATGCGTTTGTTTATATATTCTTTGCGTTTGCTCATGCGGACATGTGCGAAGTAGTAATGTATGTATTTAATACTTGGTAATGTTGATGTAACACTGTGTAAGAACTGCATAAAATTATGTTTTTTTTGGGGGGGGGACATGAATGACTTTATTTATATCCTTTTATTGCATCCAAATATAACAAATTTGTTTACCTTCAATCACGTATTTTCTTTCTTATATCATGTTTCTGGCATTTATTCAAATATTAATAATTTGTTAAGTATTAAGAAAATAGCAATTATATAGCAGTTAAATTTCAAAACTTTAATCAGTTTTAAGTTTCTTTTTAAAAATAATGAACATTATTTAAATTTTACCTTCTAAAATTATTTAAAATCAGTGCGACTACATTGTGCAACGTGCATAATATATATACTATATTATTTGCTAGTAAAAGGAAGTCTTAATTTACCACCTTTTTGTTTCATAATTTAATTATTTACCCTCTCTCTCTTCCTTTTAACTTATATCTGCTATATTGACATTCATTTTTAGTTCATTTTAATTTAATATCTTTCTCACTTTGATTTGCCTACTCTGTAGTTCTCTGTAATACACCGTATTAACACTAATTTCCTTTTCGTATTAACGTTAAATTTCCTTTTCGTATTAACATTAAATTTCCTTTTTGTACCATTTTCTGTTTTCACTCATTCTTCTTATGTTATCTATTTTTTTTATTTTTTATTCTGTCCTGAGTACTAAAAAGCCTTCTTTTTTATTTATTTATTTACTTATTTTATTTTTTAGTTTGCTATTAGTTTATTATTTATTATTAGTTTATTTATTTAGTTTGTTCTCTCCAGTTTTTAAATTTTATTTTAAATTTGGTAGACGCCGATGGACATATTGCAAAATATTATTCTACAGCATGAAAATTATTTAAATTTTAAAAAATTAAAATAAAGTTAAATTTTAAAATAAAGTGTTCAATTTTAGGGAAATTATTAATTTTGGCTTTTGTTTATCGATCTAACCTCTTCTGCAAATTCAACGGCAGCTTCTACGAAATGACGTCTTACCAAGTTCGCATTTCGAACTGAGAGAAAAGAGAGAAAAAAATCGCCAGCCATGGCGATAGTACGCCAAAGTCTGGATTCAGTTCCATTTCATGCCCAAACTCCTGCAGCTCATTCCTGTGCCACTTTTTCACCCGGTTTTGAAAGGCGATGCTCCGTCTAGTATATAACAGGTCTATGGTTACCACCTTCTCATACAATAGAACTGCCCTTAATGACGAGATGGAGACTCTTCTTCTTATTTGGATAAAAGAGAAGGAAATTGCTGGTGATACGATAACACAAGCTGCTATATGCCATAAAGCCACTGCGATCTTTGAAGACCTCGCAAAAGCCCAGAGAGACGAAGGAGGCGAAGGGACATCAACACAAGAGGCCCCAACGTTCAAAGCATCTCATGGCTGGTATGAACGATTCAAGAAGAGATCGGGTATACATAACGTGGTCAGGCATGGGGAAGCTGCCAGCGCCGATAAAAAAGCAGCGCAAGAATTTATCGAGGCCTTCAAAAAGTTAATCCTCGATGAAGGCTACATCCCCCAACAAGTCTTCAACTGTGATGAAACGGGGCTTTTCTGGAAGAAAATGCCCCGTCGTACATACATCACAGAAGAAGAAAAGAAACTTCCTGGACACAAACCCATGAAGGATAGACTTACTCTTGCCCTATGTGCGAATGCCAGTGGGGATTTAAAAATAAAACCCCTACTGGTATACCACTCAGAAAATCCTCGTGCCTTCAAGGCACATAATGTGTCGAAGGATAAGCTCGCCATCTTTTGGAGGTCCAACGCCAAAGCCTGGGTCACGAGGCTTTTATTTGTTGAGTGGGTTAATTGCTGCTTCGGACCTGCAGTGAAAAAATATTTAGAGGAGAATGGTCTTCCTCTAAAATGCCTCCTTGTGCTCGACCAATGCCCCTGCTCATCCTCCTGGCCTTGAAGAACAGATAACATCCCGACTTTCGACTTCATCAAAGTGCTCTATCTGCCACCGAACACCACTTCCATCCTCCAGCCTATGGACCAGCAAGTCATTGCTAATTTTAAGAAGCTTTACACGAAGCACCTTCTCAAACGATGCTTCGAAGTGACAGAGAGCATGCAACTCACACTCCGTGAGTTTTGGAATAGTCACTACGACATTGTCCATTGCTTAAAAATCATAGAAAAGTCATGGGGTGAGGTCTCAAGGCGCACCTTGAACTCGGCATTGAGGAAACTCTGGGCAGCTGTGGTTGCAGAACGAGACTTTGAGGGTTTCGAAATCCCTACTGAAGAAGAAGCTGTGGATGATCCTGCTCCATTGGAGGAAATTATTTCTCTGTCAAAGTCTTTGGGGCTTGTTGTCGATGAGGCTGACATTGCAACCTACTCGACGAGCACAAGGAGGAGCTCAACACTGACGACTTGAAGGCATTGGAGGCGATGCAAATCAGCGATCTTCAAGAGGAACATCATTCGAGTGTTGAGGAGGAGGTGGAGGTGGCACTGACATCTACGGAAATACGGGAAGCCATCGGTTGGTTTGAAAACTTAAACAGTTTTATTGAAAAAAAGCACCCAGAAAAAATGCGTACAGCTCGTGCAATGGACAATGTGAATGACATTTGTATGAGTCATTTTCGAAACATTTTGAGGAGTCGTCAGAAACAGGCTTCTTTAGATAGATATTTTTCGAAGAGAAGTGCCCCAGAAAGTGAAGAAGCGAGTGTTTCTAGTAAGAAAACTGGAAAGGAAAGTGAAGACGATGATGTATCACCTCAAATTTAAGTTTAGTTAGTTAAAAAAAAAAAAAAAAAAATTACAAAAGATAAAAATTATAAAAAAAAATTTGATTTTTAAGTTTTCATTACTGTGTCTGTAATTTTACATAAGAAATTTAATTTTAAAAGAAATTTAATTTAATTTTAAGTTTTCATTACTGTGTCTAAGTTTTATAAACGCTGTGCGCAATTTAGCAGTGTCGTATAAAAACTATCCCTCGCTGACTGTACAGTACTTTACGGTAAGTGAACATTAATTTTCTTTTCTTTTTTATTATTTATAAGGTTATTTTAATTTATAAATGTGGTATAAATGTTTATTGTGTGTATGTGGTACTTAATATACTATTTTGTGACTAATTATTATTACGTATAGACGATTTTGGTGTTTATATATGGGGCGTTGCACGAATTAATTAAATTACATAAGATTACATTGTTCATTATACGAAATTTTACGATACGATCCCGGTCCAGGAACGGATTAAGATCGTATCGCGAGGTACCACTGTACATTTTTAATTTTTTTATTTACACTTTCATTTCTAAACGAAGAATTTGGAAACATATATTTTACTGTTGCAACGCAAGTATTTCCAAGGAAATCAAGCTTTTCTTTGTCAGTTAATTTACATAGAAGTAGAACTTCACTGATGAGTTTCACTTTCAGTTTGGCGTTGAGTCTTAGTATTCTCTTGTTGCCTCATCATCGATTAGTATGTAATATATTTTCGCTGGCATTTCATTTTTCAGTTCAGCTTCTTGACAACTTTTTAAATGATACAAGACGGAATGTCGTCTCTTCTTGCTCATTTTGAAATTAATAAATCGACCCACATTTCCAGTTTCTGATATTATTGAATCGCTTTAAGAATGTTTCGAGCCTGAAGTCTGAGTTTAAAGATGAAATTAATGTGTTCGTTGTAGAAAACTACCACCTGATATTGAGAAATATTTTTAAACGGATGGCAGGAATGAAGGCTAAGTAAATAGCCAAAGTCGTTTAACTAAGTCGTACAGTTTAAATTTAGCAATTTTTGATACAAGAAAAAATTTTGGGGTTGAACATGGCCCTTTGCACTACACTGGGTACACAATTGTCTCATACATGGAAATGATTCATATATGTATATCTCCTTTCTCGTTTCTTCAGATTAGTAATCCGCTTAATTACAAATAAAAAAAAAAAATCTGAAAGCATACAAATTTTATATTACGCCCAAACGGGCACTTTTTTTCATTTACAGACACATACACATTTGGGTCAACGCCATTTTGGGTTAAAAATATTTAAAAACAGCATATCTTTAGGATTTCCGATTGAGAGTCTCGGGCGCTGGAGATAAAAATGTTTTATTCCCTGCAGTGTTACCATTGCTCGCTGTCAAATTGTTAAGTTTTTTAATCAAAATTTCGTTAAAGTTTTACAAATATGAAATGGACAATAAAACAAATTCCAAATTTGGGCTTCCAGGTGCCCATGTTCGGGTAAATGACTTTGTTATTCGAAATTTGATAACTCTAGGTACCCTTATTTTTCCACAATGCGAGAAATACCAGATTATTCATTATTTAGTTTCTTTAAATATAATACAGGGCGATAATATTTGGTGGTAAAAGTGATACAGTCGTTTATAGTGACCCAACGCAAAATGCCGTTTCGAGATTAATAGGCCTTCTGGACTAATAATTTAATTCCAGTAAATTTGAGTTTAAAAAAATTTTTGAAATTATTCTTTGTTACTTCATATAAATAATATATATATATTTTTTTTCCGTCACGTTAATAAATCTTTTGAAGTGGAAAAAAGCTATAATCTGCAAATTCTTGCAAGTGGAAAATTTATTACCTTTAATAGACCCCCAAATATTTAAAATACTAATAATCAAATCAATTTGTTAGGAGAAAAAAAAAATACGATGGCATAAGCAAATTAAGTGCTGAATTACAGTGCTTAACCAACAAAATATTTTACACATTTCGATAGACTCTGGCGAAACTATTATTAAAGAGAAATAGATATAATGTAATCTGCTTTTCCCGTATTTCCGAAGGATATGATCTTAAAAAAATACCCTTTAAATGAATCTTTACAAATTGGTTTTGGAGCATTTCAAACTTTGGCGTGTCTTAAAAAGCATTCAGGCATTACTAGAAAGAATGTTTCTTAAATAAAAAGAAACATTTGGCATCTTCAAGAAAAAAAAGGGAAAAAAAAAAAAAGATTAGCTCCATATCAAGTTTATTGAAGCATACTTGAGATGATATGAGAACGACATTCTAAAAATTGAAAACTGTGTGACAACTAATTTTTTTCAACTTCATATTCTTATTATTCATTACCAAGTAAAAATTCTTTAGTCCTCTTTTGACGCTAGAAATATCTTCCAATACTCTCGTACCACATTTCATCGCGCAATTAGATTCCGTTCAGTTTGTATTAGGTGTCTATGAAAGCTGCTATTCTGAGATATGTAGCAATCTCCAATAGCAGAAAACTTTTAATTTTTCTTTCCCCTTATACTTCTACACTGTTTGTAGCAAAATCATGCATTTAAAAAATGTATAAGCTTTTAAATAATTGCAGCAATATCTGTATTTTTAATATAGTTTTGAAAAGAAATTCATGACTCTACTTCTGCTGCAGAAATTTAATACGAAGTTTATGTATTTCATGTATCATAAGATTTATCTAGAAAATACATGCATTTTTTAAGCGACAACTTTTCAGAGAAGCTTAGAACACCCTAATTTATTTATTTATTTATTTATTTATTTAGCTTATTCGTTTTCAGCAGGGGAAAAAAAAAAAAAAAAAAAAAGTGTTTTCCATCTCTAAACGATAGATTCTTCACCCCATATGTTTTTAGTTCATTTGTTTACTCATTTCAACTTTTCGCATTTTCTTAATGTAATTTTCCTGTTTGATGACATAAAAAGCAAGTATATGCAGCTCGATTTTTAATAATCTAATTATTTTTGTCTATTAATCACTAATTAAATAAGCTGGAAATTAAACAACGCATGAGAATCAGATTCATTACTTTCAGAAACCATCTGGTCATATTCAACACCAACCAGAGAACAGTGTCCAGAATCAATTTTTGCTTTACCGTTTTACTTGAAAAGGTGAAAATAGTACAATTATGCACAATTTTTCAAAAACGGTTCTGATGAATTTCAGTTTTTTAGCCCAAATGGCGTTAGCCCAGAAGAGCTATTAATTTCGTTTTGGCATTTTGTGGCGTTTCACTTTTCAGATTGTTGCCATCAAATATTATTGCCCTTTATTATATTTAAAGAAATTAAATAATGAAGAATCTGCGTAAATGCATATATGTTTCTCGCATTGTGATAAAAAAACGGTATCTAGAGACATGAAATTTTGAATAACGTACATGTGCACCAGAATACGGGCATCTGAAGCCCAAATTTGGAATTTGTTTTATTATTTATTTCATATTTTGTAAAGCATTTATGAGTTTCGGAATAAGAAACTCAACGATTTCAAAGCGAGCAATGGCAATGCTCTACGGGAGGAAAAGAAAAAAAAAAAAAAAAAAAATATTATCTCCAATCGCGCGAGACTGTGTATCAAAAATTCCAAAGATATACTCTTTTAAAATTATTTTGCGATACTACTGCTGTTGAATTGAATTTTATGCTTTAAGTGCGAAGAACATGATATTTAATAAATAAAAATAACACACAAAACGCACCTTTGGGAGTAATATAAAATCTAAAAGCTTTCATTTTTTTTTTTTTTTTTTTTTTTTTAATCTTTAACATTAATTTTCTCGAGTTAGTTCATAAGGCCGATAATAAAACATACGACGGAAGCTTCATATTTTTCTTATTCTCTGACAAAGAATGTTATAACGAAAGAAAGTTAGCTTAGCAGATTAAAACAGTTTTTATGTGCTAGAAATTGTGTAAATTTTGCAATCGCAATAATATTCTTTTGGAGAGTTTTATGATGTTACGCTGGTTTATTGAATTTCTCGTATGGAACTGATTAGAGATATAGATGACCGACATATTCCTTTAAATTTTACCATACAGATGCACAATTTTTTGGTCATACCAATAATTCTGGGAAGCAGCCTTAAAATAATAATAATAATAATAATTTCCTCGAATTCGCTTTCAAATTGCTAACAGGCTGGAAATCCCCCC